ATAAATGAATGGGTTATATTAAGCTCTTTTTAATGGTAAGTAACATATTTTTATCTGAATAGCTGAACCAATTAGTCACTTACTTGATTAGCTGAAAAAATGCTAAAATATTCTATGCTTCCAGCTTGTAAAATATAAATATTTTCAAGGTGCAACAATGAATTTACTCATTCATTATCAGAACATTTTGATAATCAAGTAATTGTTTTAGTCATTTTTAAAACAGGATACTAAGTGGTATAAATAATGGACAGATGCCTATTTCCACATCCAGCAGACACAGAGCAACATTAGCATTAATGTGTAGTCTTATTTCTGGCCTCCTGATGAATGTGATTTCAATATATGCTGCTTTTTAGCTCAGTTTTTGGTGTCCACCAACTCCTGAGGGAAACATTCAGCTTTGTAATTGATAAATGCTCCAGTATGGTCGCTGGCTATTAGCTTTACCTGTCAGCAACTGGTGCTGGGCAGGTGGCGCACAGCAGAGCATGGATCTGGCCACATATTTCTGTTCAAACCCAACCCTTGACTGAGAATGTGGCGTCCGAACCTGGCTTAAAGTTTGGTCTAAGTGTCCATTTCAAAATTTCTGTCCAAACACAGTGCGATCCGCCAGGTACCGACAGGTCCCTTTGGGCTCAGTTCGGGTATGCACACTCTAGTGTACAGTGGGGTTGTAACAAACACAGCTTATCTGCTGCTGCTAAAAACATCATTGATAACAGTGATCAATAAAAAGTAAAGATGTAGGCCAGAAAACTAAAACAAAGAATTAAAACGTGCTACCATGAAACTGGCAGAAAAATATTGAGCTCGATGATGCCAACAGTTCAAGTTGCCTCACCTACACTCAACAGCTCTATCCATTTGGATCAGCATGTTAATTGACAACAGTACTAAGTATTTAAGTCCATGTTGTTGTTAGCCAAATCCACACAGACAGGCAGCAGTGGCCAAGGACGTAAACAATGTTTAATGGGTGCTAATGTACTTCTTAAGTGCCAATTTTGCATATGGCCAACAACAAAATCAATCTTCCTCTGGCTGACTGCTGGTGTGCTCTAACAGCTCATCCCAGAAACTCACTATTTTTTTGATTTTCGCTAACCATGCATTTGTCAGAATGGAAACAATGAGACTGATGCAGACAAGTTTCAGATATGCTAATAAAATCCTTACATTTAAGTCGATAACACATGTAGGACATCTAAAACAAGCGCTGTTCCTCAATACTCATTTGTAGTGCTCACAAGTACTGTACAGGCAGACCTTAGAGCAAAGTTATTGAAGTCCAAAAACGAGATAAGGAGAGGAAAACGGTCATTTCCACAATATCCAGGTAGTGCTGACAGCTGGGTGATCTAACATTATGTTCAAAAAGACACACACATACACATCCTGGTACTGCCAAGTATATTTATAAACTTAAAATCTCACTGTCAGCCACACAGGAAGAGAGGGAGAGACCTAGGTCTGGCCTTTCTTCTAACAACAATCACTCACAGAGGATTTAACTGTACACATTCAAACAAAACATCAGGGAAAAGGATGACAGGTAGATAACTGGAAAAAAATCTGAGGTCTGGATCTAGATATATCTTCAGGCAGATATATTATATCTGACTGAGATGATGGTCTTAAATGTATAGTCAATTTTTTATAGAATTACAAAATTCTATAAAACGTGATGAGCTTGGGCTTACTTCTTATTCAGTTGGAACCTGTAGCAAACACAATCAACTCTAGTATTACAATTTTTGGACCTTCTGCCTTATAAACCTAACCTTAACTCTTCATCTAATATAACCTAATGCTAATCTTAACCTTTAACCCTGATCCTAAACCACTACTACAAGTGAAGAGAGGAAAATTTGATTAAATTGTGTCATGATTCAATTCAGAATGGATTATTGATTTAAAATGTTTGACTCAATAAGAAGAAAGTAGGTCGCTCTATTGTAGCTCTTACTCCAGTGCGCTGGTGTAACACAGGCACTAAACTACTGATGCCTGTTGATTCCTGTTATTTCCTTTGCCAAACCAAAGTGGATCGACATTTTGAAATGTGCTGCAGTGTGTGTTGTGGAGCTATTTTCCTTAATGCCAGAGCTCGGTGCTCTGCTCCGCTACCGTTAGTCTGTTGGTGATAGGGTATGACGTGTTCACACAATCCTCCATACTCGTCTTTCAAAGCTCATTATCAAGTCATTAAATCAGCATAATAGAGGATATGAATTGTGATTTGTAAGTGAATCCATTTTTTGTCTCACCCCTACAAATCAAATCAAATTTGATTTGTAAAATCAAATATCACAAATTATAATTGTGTCTCAAGGGTTATGACAGCTGTACAGCATTTCAAAGGAAAAAAATAAAGACCTCGGGAAGCACAACAAAGGAAGGATCGCTCTTCCAGAACAGTCAGACATGCAGCAGATGCTGTGTGCTGTGTACAGAATACACAGTTGATTTACAGCACAGAGAATCAGGGTGTCAAAATTATAGATTGTAAACATATATAAAGGAAGATGAGCAACTTCCATGAGCCTCCACACAACCTCCAATCCAGACAGAGTACAAAAACACACAAGAGGCAAAACCCATGTACATCAGAGAAGAACACCCACAAAGGCGGGACCACTATGAAGGTCAGGCTCTCCTAACCATTTATGTTACTTTAATGGCAGTGCAAGTGCTGACATGTGGGACTCACCAGGTTCTTCAGTAGAGCAGACAGCTCCTTAGTGAGGGAGGAGAACTTAACGAAGGCCGTTCCCAGGTCAGGGTTGTCCCGGCTGATGAAGTTGCTGCCAAATTTGTCCAAAGCCAGTGCGTAGTTTTCTTCATTCTGGACGTGGTCTGAGTTGGAACCAGAGAAAAAGACTGATCAGTCGACCTGTACATCAATATATACTGCAGATGTAGATGTCACAAAGGTGGCCATAGGAACAATCAAATGAGTTTTGCACCGTAAAGCTTCGACAACTTTGGCTTATTTTGTTACATGAAAAAGGGAGTAGAACCTCGGGTCAAATCCGAACAGGGTGAATAAATACAGTATGCCCCAGCTCTGCCACTTTCAACTAAAACTCAAAACTCTACTATTTTGTTTGACTGGTTTCTAAGCTGCATTGCTTTTGCTTTGTCTATTTGCTTTCATTTTATGTAATCATACAATTATAAAAACATTTACCTCTGATTTTTGATCAATACTTTTGTTTTACATGATTTGACACTAGTAAGGCATAATTATACACAGTGGCAAGATAAAGCAAGTGAGCCCTTTAGAAATAACTGCGTCTAACACACAAATTCTTGTACTGTTCTTCTTGTCCATCCTGAGCAAATCATCCAAATTTCAGATGAAAAAAAGTTTAAAGAGAATCTCTCCACAATGCTGCTGGAAAAATGTTGAGTGGACTGATGAAGCTAGGTGGAACTGTTTGGGACAAACTCACAGCACTACACTGACGGCATGCCAACATAAAAACATCAAGCTAGCAAAGAAGTAGAGAGGAGGAAAGAGAGCAATTTCATTTTTATTTCCAGCGTTGATCCTGAAGGTAAGTTGTTTCTGCGAAGAACAAAGGAGGTTTTGTGGGACAAACATCTGAAACTGTCAATTTAAAGGGAGGAGGCTGCTCTAAAAGTATTCAGTGGAAAATTACTGAGGATCTATGCCAGAGCAACAAGCAAAACAAACTCAGGTGTTGGTTTCTGGGACAGCATGGATGCACACACAAAAAATACCATCTGTCCAACAAAAAGCAATGTTCCAAACACACAAAAAGCAAGGATATTTAAGAAAACCCAGGCTTTACTCTGTGGATTTCATTTGGACAGGGCTGTGAACACACCACTGCCAGCTAAAGCACATTCAGACCTGACAAATTTATACACCCACTGTCTCACCTTGCCCTGAACTGTAGATGGCCTTCACTGATTTCTTCACTTTCTGTAGGGAGGTTCGATCCTGGTCCAACGCCTGGGAAAAAAAGAGGAGGTTAAAAACAGCTGAAGTGGTTTTATCCTTCAACGATCATTCATATCAGAAGACAAGAAAGCTAATTTGGCCTTTTGTAGAGCAACATTGAAGAATTCAGGGCACCAGAACAATATCTGTTCAGTAATTCAAAGCATATATAGTCCATAAAGCTAATGTAGAAAGAGCACTGGTCCTGATTATGGCATATATAAGCTTTTCAAAAGTAGCGACTGCTGGATGAACGCCAATAGGCAGAATAAAAATAAAAATAAATAAGCAATAAATCCAATTTTATCACAGTAAGGCTATTTATTGTCATAATTATTCTAAATGAAATACTGAGATACCAGGGAAAAACCACAGCTGCTGACCAATGTGTCTCACTTCCTTGTATTCTCAGAGATCACTGCTCAGAGTTCAACAACCACAGCACCAGGGACTTACAATACTGGCCAGTAGAACTAGAAAAGCACTTCATAGAGCAGGTGCTATAGATTGTGGCACTAGTTGTAGAGTTACTTATTTAATGATAACACACGTATATTTAGAGAAAACCCTGCAAACCTATTTGAAACAAAATCACACCACTGTGACCCTTGAAAATATTTGGACATCGACCCTGAAAAGATGCTTTCACACAAAATTCATCACCATCACACACAAGCTCAACTCCCTGGGAGGGAAAGTGACAATAGCATCTGAAGTTATATCACACACCTCTTCCTTAACAGATTTTTTTTTTTTAGTTCATAGTGAGCAAGCCTAATGTGCTTTAAATCAGCTGGTTGATTTGCACCCTGGTTAAACAAATAAATTACAAATAAATAAATTACATTTGGGTCTTTTGTTGATATATAAGTGAAATGCCATGTTTTATTCATCTCATAACTCAAAACATTTACTATAGCCTTTTGTCTTTGTAGCCTTGCATTTCCTTATCAACCTGCCTCCTTATATTGATTTGTTGCCTTCAATGTTGATCCCAGTACTGTTGTCTTAGTACGGGTGTCTGATCTATTGCTTTTTTAAAATCTTCCTAGAAATCACTCTTCAGGTTAACAGCAAAGACATGTTTCTAACTTTATAGCCTTGACTTTTTTTATTTTTTGAGCTGTGTTTTTGTAATTTGTGCCATTTTCCTGTTCTTATCATTTTCAGCTGTTTTTTAACACTTTGCAATTGATCATAATTATTTATTGTGACAGGACATACATTTCATGTCCAACCCATTGTGACCATAGGGAATGTGGCCATAACTCTGCCATGTTTGCTCATAATAGATGATAAACTCCAGCACAAACATCCTTACATCAAGGTCAGCCAGTTAAGAGCAGGGGGAAACACACAACAGTTGGCAAATAGAATTTCACTACATAATTAAGTTGTCCAAGCTGGCCAGTCCCCCACCGCACTCCCTCAATTACAGCAGCGGTAGTTTGCCGCCATGAGGCCCTTTATGCCAGGACTGAGCCCTTTAATCTCTTACACTGCCTCATTATTTAGGCCTCGTGTCTAAAGAGTGCTGCAACAGTGAGTCCTAAAACCTGGAACTGTGTTACCATTTATGCACATCCAGATCCCTTGCCCCAAGATCAGTGGGTTTTTGAAAGACTTTTTGGTTAGATGCCTGAAATAGGGTCTGTGGTTAACAACAGGCTGATACATTTTCATGCTTTGTTCTACAACATAAAGTACATTAGTCAATACCCCACTCTTGATTTTAAAGAGTTTACGTGTCTTAAAAATGGTTAACACCTGGCTAAACGAGACTACAGAGGTCATCAGGGATATTACATATCATCACGGTGAATATGGTGAATCATCTACTCACTAGCCTGCCTTTAAAGCCTCACTGTGTTTATACAAGGCTCAGACAACACATTTGAATATCTGAAGATGCCACCATGGGCTCTGGATAACTTTCCACTATTTCTGACATTTTCAAGACTAAGCAGTTAATTGAATGGACAGAAAAATCAATAATGAAAATAACCGTTAGAGGTTCAGAGGCTGTAGTGTTGAGTGCTGATTAGGATGACAAGCGCAACAACGGCAGACTGACCCTTGTGGTGCTCTTGTTGAGAGCAGCTGGCACAGATCATGGTCCCCCATAATCTACTCAGTCTGTGCTCTTAATTAAATATTCAGCTGTAATGTGAACAAGCATTAATTACAGAAGAGTATTAGGGCCACTGCATAAATTTTTTTTTGAATTCTGACTTTATTCTCAGAATTCTACGGAAGAGTATTAGGGCCACTGCATAATTTTTTTAAAATTCTGACTTTATTCTCAGAATTCTGACTTTATTCTCAGAATTCTGACTTTAATCTCAGATTAAAGTCAGAATTCTGAGAATAAAGATTAATCTGAGATTAAAGTCAGAATTCTGAGAATAACGTCAGAATTAAAAAAAAAATGAATGCAGTGGCCCTAATCCTCTTCCGTACTAGCTTGCTCTGGAGCTTTCAATTGTGTTGAAATCATTACATCCATACATTGTATAAGAAATATTATATAATAACAGGCTTACATTGTTTATTTAGATACCAAGCACATTCATTCAGAATTATCTGATTTCTTGTTTATTATGATTTGAATTTATTTGGTTTTTCAGCAGCTCTGAGTCATCTTCTGACCCTGACAGGAGCGAGCCGACCCCTTAATTCATTCAAAATCTCACCAAATTAAATCAGAGAATAAACAATAAGTAGCTCTTCATTGGCCAGTGCTATTTCAATAGTTAATGTCACTGACACTGAGTGATGGTTTGTTAAAGCTGTTTTCTCTCAGTTTTTCAGGGAGAAAAAAACTTCAATGAAATAGCTCTGTCTTGGCACACAGCCTTTGCAAACCCTTGGCAACAGGCAAGAATGCATCCACATTCTGTTCTCCAAAAAGCCGGCAACCAGTGAATATAGTCAAAGGATTGTTTTTATCTGCCAGCAACCAATGGCAAGCTCCCTCTCGACCCAGGCGGATTAGGAAGCCTAACAATACCAGAACATCTGCGGTCACTCATCTCTCCGACCAAACAGCAAGTGATGCGTATGTGTGTTTTATTTAGTGCAGCTGAAAAATGTAGCACGAAATGAAGTGTTTTTTGTGTCCATGTGCGATTCTACTGAGAAACCTTTAAGACCATTTGTGCTGTGAAAGCCAACATATCAGTGTTAGAAGGCTTTTAAGCAGACGCTTGTCAGAAACAGAGCCAAGGAGGTCAAGGGCTGACTTATGAGAGGGTGAAGGGTGAAAGCAATGCATGTTGCCTCTGTGTGAACAGATATGATCAGAGTAGGCACAAAGGTCAGTAATTAAAAATAAAAATGAAATACAAAAAAAAAAATTCTTGTAGTTTGTCCTATTCAGACATTTTTTTAAGACAAAAAAGGAAAAAATATCAGTCACATGCTGGTATTTCAGTGTTTTTAATGGTGGATTGATACCTACCAATGCTAGTTAAGTTTAGTTTTGAGTATCAATACTACCGCCAATAAAAAGAGATGTGATCTGAACCTGGTAATAAGGTTCTGGGCAAATGACCACTATTCTTTGTGCTTACTGGCTTTGCATTAACCTGCTTGTTTTGTCCAGCAAGCATTTCAAAGTATTCAGTTTATTAGACATAAAAAGACAAATATTCTAGTAATTTTCATCATTGACAGACCTGCCACATGCTATGTCGATTGATCGTGCACAGAAAGACCACGGGTCAGCCGGGGCTCGAACCTGGAACCTTCTTGCCACCCATGTTTACCATTTTTGTTTTAAAAAAAATGACTAAAACAATTGATTATCAAAATGTTCTGATAGTGAATGAGTAAATTAATTGTTGCATCTTGAATAATCTGGTGGTATATTCATAAGTACTTTATCAATAACATATTCACTTCATAAATCATAGTTTGTATATTAGCCACTTACATAATAATAATAATAATAAAATAATAAATAATAATAAGTGATGACTGACTTTGATATAGTCTGAGTGAGAAATTTTAACTGCAGTTCAGCAGCTTGAAGAGATGCTGCCAGCCGCAGAAGTCACTTCATCAACAACTAACACCATAAAACATCTCAGAAGTCAAAGGGTGAAAAGTGAAACAAATGGAGAAACAGATGTGGGGAAGGCATTGTCATTTTGTCAGAGCTGTCACGAGTTTCCAAAAGAAGGAAAGGTGAGAGATATCATTTTAATTTAAAGAAAGAAGCAGAGGCTACTAGCACTGTCGCCTCCCAGCAAGAAGGTTCCGTTTTTAACCTGGCGGCCGAACCAGGGCCTTTGTGTGTGGTGTGTGTGAGTTCTCCCTGTGCCTGCATGGGTTTTCTCTAGGTACACAGCTGATGAATGGATGGATGGAAGAATCCTAGTGCTGCAAGTATATTTCATAAGCCAGTGAACAGCTGATTAATGCATTAGTCTATTTGCTCAGACAACAACTAAGGGAGATTGTAAAAGCTTTTTTCAGTATTTTAATAATTTTTAAACTAAATGACTAATCAGGCAAATGAAATAAATAGGAACCAGTGGGGTTAACGTGGAGCTGGGGCTGACTTCCTGGTTTCCAAACAACCACAACCCTGAGGGCTGGGATTTGTGGCATGACTGACTAAAGGCTGCCTCAGCTTCACGCTTCCTGACAAGGCCTTATCCCTCTCTGCAGTCCTGCTGTTTCCCCTGTAGCCGTCCCTTTGACAGGAAGCAGGAAGCTGCCAGTCTTGACAGTGTCCTGTCCTAGGTCAGCAGCACGCCGTCTAATGACACTGACTGCTCTTCGGTGACGGCTGAAAAATAACATGGTTTCTGGGAAATGTTTTTGTTGATTCACTGACCCCTCTTCCGTCATCTTTCTCAGGATCTCCCTGAACCCATCCTTCCTAGCTCCTCTTCTCTTGCAACCTGTCATTTGGCATTGTGCTGGCACACGACTATACGGTTACCAAGGAAATGTGATCTGGTCATCTTGCAAGTCGTCTCAACACTGTTCACTGCAGCTCTCTA